ATTTTTCTGGTTCCAAGACAAATAAGGGACAGTTCACTGTATACAAAAGCACAGTAATAGGACCGCCACATCTGCAATGAATCACATGTCAAGGAAGAAACCTTAGCCTCACGTGCACTTCTGAGCTGCGGGTTCACATGTTTTATGCAGCAAAATCCAGGAGGCTAATAGATCAGAAGATGTAAGAGTTAAAGGGTTGGAAATATTTAGGTGATTGAAATGTGTGGAGGGGTCGCCTGGGTGCTGTCTAAAAAGCCCTGATAATTACCTGCATGGCAGGCAGCTATTTCAGCACAGGTGGGTGGGCTGCTTGTCTCACGCACAGGCGTGGATGCAATTACAGGTTCCTTTATAATGGTTATTCCATCACTGCAGAACACTAAACAAAATTAAATGGTACATCTCACAAGATCATGCATCTCTTGGGACATATTCACCGCAGAGATTGCAACACATACAGCATTACCAGGACATAAATTCAACTTGATTTTGGGGTTTATTCATTTAAATAATGTATAAAGTTGACATTAAATATCATTCCAGTCAGTCCAATGACAAGAGTCACCATTTTCAAGCTTAACTCAAGTCAGCCATGTTATAAGAAAAACAGGTGTGAAACAGCTAATCTCAAATGCTGTTTTAAAGATGCTTTAAAAGCACCAGAGAAAATTAAGACAGTGCTAGAAACATTTGGGTAATTGGGTCTTTTGTGTGCTATATATACTTAAAGCTTTCTTAATACATAACCCTGTTCCCAACATTTCCTCTCCCAGCCTGTCACCTGGAATCTTATAATATAAAAACTTCTGGTGCGATTTCAGATTTGCCCCAGTATAAAAGATAATTCTACTTAACCGTAGCAATAGCTTCCCCTAATTCTAATTGCTATTCCTTTTACCCCCCCATCACAATTCGCCGATAGTGACAAATCAAAAAGTAAGGCTAATTTTTGTTTTTTGGGTTTAATCAGAGCATTGCTGCGCAGTACACAGTACCATCACAGCAGAGAAGACAGTTAAAAACAACTGACAATGTTCACTGCAAAACTGACTTGACCCATGTTAGGGATAGAGACCTCAGTAGAAAACAATTCCTGTCTTGTATTTTTAGAATAGACCTATGGCAAAAAATACAGCTTCTATTGTTTCCTTCAAATAAATTCCAATATCAGGGTTTGATATAAACGGGACAGACTTGATGAGTGGGGAAGTACAAAGAGGGCTCTTTAAAAGGTGGTAGAAATAGAGAAATGGTTAAACAAAACAACACACTTCAATATTTATATACAGACACACACACACGCACACACATAGACTTGTGCCAAAGCATTAAAGCCGCCTTAAAGCCCGTTTCTTATCTGCTTTCTTTTTCCCTGCTACACTAGTGTTGCTACTGCTGTTGGTATTGCTGCTGCTGTTGGCGTTGCTGGCTCCGTTTCCCAGAGGTGCAGGTGTTGCGGCTGCACTGGGCCCAGCTCTCTTCGTGGGGTCGCCTGCATGTTTTTTCGGCTGAGGGCCATCGTTAGGGTCTTGGTGTGTCCCCGAGGTGCCACCAGGGCCACCCATGGCGTGGATTTCTGTTAACAAACGAGCTCGAGACTCGTATTCCGCATAGTCCTCCAAAAGCAGGCGTCCAGCCTCTTCATTCAGAGCAGACTCAGGATTTGGATGAATAAGCAGACACTTGATTGTCTGTGGAAGAGCAAAGAATTATTTTTTATTTTTTTATTTTATTTATATATATATATATATATATATATACACACACACACACACAAACAAATATAAAAACAGTGCAGAGTGACAGATCTTACAAGTAAAACATGTCTGAGGCCCAGTTCTGCTTTCCAGTCCCTTTTCAGTACGTTGACACAGATTTCACCTTTGTGGCCGACGTTGGGGTGAAAAATCTTGGTCAAAAAATAACCCTTGGGTGGAACAGCAGGGAAATCCTTCCCGAGGACGAGGCGCATTCGGAAAATGCCACCAGCAAACGGAGTTCCCTCTGTCAAAGTATTAAGTATTTATTACACCAACAGCATGGCCAGGCAATAGAATAGAAGCAAACGTAAAAGAAAAACTACCCAAAAGTCTGTATTATCACAAGAAGAAAAAGCAACAAATGTACATGGTTTTCATCATATAAAAGTAAGTAACTTGGTGAGGTTCTAACCTTGAAACCAGTAAGGTCAAAAACTTTGTATCAGTAGAAAAGAGATTCTTGATAAAACAGACTAATTTATTGTTACATTACTTACCAGGTCCTTCAATGGATGTGTGCAGCTCTGTTATGTCTTCTTCACTTGGGTAAATTTTGATTCCCTCAGGGGGATCCGCTGCCAATGCTGACACCTCTTTATAGACCAAGCGAAGAACCTGAGGGGGCAAATTCTCCACATTGGAGTTCTGTGAAGGGAAACACAAACATAATTGATTACATTCATAACCTTCATATATTTAAAAGTATAAGATCTATAATTATAATAAGTATGGTCAAAATAAAAAAAAACTAATAATAAAATAGAAAATGACTGATCTTCAAAAGTTTGAACTCTGCTCCAAACCACATGCATTTACAAAAAGAGATGATTGGCTGTAGTCCTACTGATTAAAATGCCCGAAGCTGATCATTGACGATATGAAATGATTGGATCTCAAATAGATTAAAACTGTAAATTAAACTTAACAATCAAATCCAACACTGTCATTAGTGAGCCAACCTATTCTGTAACTTGATTAGTATAGTAACCAATAGTACTGATTTGTTTAAGGTGACCAGATGTCCCTATTTACCCGGGACAGTCCTAGTTTTGAGCCTTGTGTCCCCTGCCCCCAGCAGATTTATATAAAACCACTGATTTATCCCAGTTTTATACAAGAAATGTCCCAAGTGTCCCCATTTTTGACCAATCTGATCCCTGCCAACAGTAAAGAGAGGCATATATTGTCATTTGTTTAGGTAAAAATACAGAAAAGCTGCTGAAAAATGAAAAACACAAAGAAAATGTGACTATACTGACTCACATTAGTGTCGAGTGCAGAACAGTTTTCTTTAATCATGCACTTCATTTATTTTGAAAATCTGGTCACCCTAGATTTGTTGGTTATATACCAAATTTCAAGCCGATTATTTCCAGAAAGAACTGCTTTAAACAACGTGGTTTATTTGGTTTGATACAGACGTATCCGGCATACTTTCTGCTCATTATTTTTAAAGTAATATCTCATGATAATCCTTACCATTTTAACTGTTATAATCGGACAAACAAGACCCAATAATATTCACTTTGCGAGTTATAACTAAGCGTGGTTTGTTTTTCGCATTGGTCGCTGGACATTTACACCAAAGCCTCTCATTAACGCTAGCTAACATTTCCAGCTACAAATCATGTGTTATTAGAATTTAACCTTTACTTACTTACACCGCAGCTCGCATATCTTATAACTAAATTCAGACATTCATTTTACAAGTGAATATTTAGGTTGTGTCGATAGAAATTTGACCAGGCTTCTTGAATTTAAAATTTCGACCGATGCATATGCTAACACCGAGCTAGCCGTTAGCAAAAAAACTAAGAAACCAAACTTACCATCTTCAAAAACACTTCTGCTGAGTTGGTGGTGGTCTTTGGACGAGCAAATAAAAAAACTTTTCAGGATATATCGTAATACAATGTGATGAAACCGTAATGTCGGCTGTGGACTGTGTTTTTTCTCTTTTTTTGCTTGACACAGGAACAAAAATACGACCCCCAGTTTAACCTGCGAGAACGGACCAATAGGACGGCACGTTGGGAGATACGGTATTGACGTACAGCCAATCAGAGCACAGTATTCTATCTGCGACACCATTGTATTTGCAATCAGCCAAACAGAAGCAGAAGTATCAGATAGCACACAGCTATAGGCCCGTTTGAAAAACTCACACCTCCTCAAATGAATACTTATATGAGGGAGGAGGACCCTGATTTGGGGAAGTAGACCACTAAAGAATGCAAGAAGATCACTGTGAAAAGATAAGATTAGATAAAAGTAAAAAAAAAAGTTATATACTTTATGGTGGAGGGTCAACCACCTGCTTTTCTCCATGTGTTATTGCTTTGTATGAAAGTGTCTACTGCATTGAGAAACCTCATTGTCTCCATGAAGATAAATTCAAAGATATTTTGTGGATTAATCCAGGCAAAACAATAGACCCTTCCTCAGCACTATGTAAATACATAGTGCACCTTTGAGTAATGTTTTAATAAATAGTAACTGACATGATTAAGTAAATTGGAGTATGTTATAGACTGAGGACAAACAAATGCCACTGTTTTCATTTCATTTTCATTTGATTGAGCAACATTCCTGCACAAGGTACATTACAATACACAAAGAAATATACATATATACATGTACATTATGTTACAGTATTCTAGTCTATGGGGTAAATTTGGTTTATTGGACACACACTAAAACATGAAGGTTTCAGACTCTTGGAGTAATCAGCTGGACAGGCTCAGTACTTGTTGCATACATCTATCTATATCTTAATTTACCTAGTACCTTATATGAATCTATATTTTAACATGGTATTTATCATAGAAGCTGTATTTTTACCAGCAGGGTAAGTAAAGTGCTTCTTGCAAACGTTTGTTTTAATTGAAATGAAAACCAACAAAAGCTATTTAGTTATTTGGATTTTTGAAGGAAATCAACTCTCATCTGAAAAGTTTTCCTGAATTAAGGACATCTAATATGAGAATAAGATGTGTTATTTGTTTCAGATAACATTAACAATTTACAATGTTATTCTACTATATGCCACCTTGTATTGCAAGTTAACCTTTGTATGCACTGACTACAAGTTTAAATAGTCTTGGTTTAAATGGTTTAAATGGTACGAAAGCTTTGTCTGCTGTTTAAGTTACAGCGCCTTGACACCACTAGACGGCGCTGTAACACAAGCGTAGTGCTGGTGGGCGGAGAAAACAAGGAGGAAAATAATGCCAAAAATTTTGTGTATTGATTTTTATTTGTCGTTATCGTTTTTCACATATATTTTAGATATAGAAAGTTATTTTAATCAAACGATAAATTTGAAACCGTTATGACACTTGTGTTACATGTTTACAATCTGGCGTTCACTTCCGGTGTGGATGTAGCTGTCACTCTTGCATCTTTTCTCTTGGAAATCGCTTTATCAGCAGGTCAGTTCATTTGAGCATCTATTGTTCATTAAACTAAACGCTTTCTGACAATCTAGCTACCATATTCACGCTCAAAACACTTCCGCTTTTTACACTGTTAACAATAAATAATCTTTCGTCAAAATTGCTAGCTGAGTTTTGAATTATCGCTAGCCCACATAAACGCATCGCTAACAACTTTTATCGTTAGACTCGTAACTCATCGTGCCAGGTTTGCAGTTTTGAGTGTATTAATTTGACTTAAATGTTGCAGTATGAATGAAGCAGAAGTCTTCCATGAGAAGCAAAGGTTGGAGCTGTGCGCGATCCATGCCCTGAACAACGTGCTACAGGAGCGGGTGTTTACAAAGGAGACGGCGGATGACATCTGCAAAAGGTACTTTATATTTACTTAAGATAAATATGCTGCAGACTTTTGCTTTCCTGTGATTTTTAATAATACTTTAACCTGTCAAAAGTTATATATCTACAACAATGAAGGAACTCATGAATATAACCTCAGGGCTGATGGTTTACTGCACTAACTTGGGCTGTGTAGTACCTTCTGCATCATATATGTTTTTTTATATATCTAATAATAATAATGAGGCATAGACATGGACAGATCAATCAACATTATAACAGTGAAGTTTAAAAAAATAACTAACGTGTGTCATATTGCAATTTTATCCAAAGGAAAGTAAATATGCACTTTATTGTTAACACAAGTGAAGTGAAAAAAGCTGAGGCATGTGGTATTTTAATTATTTTGTACTTTTTGAGTGCTTCAGCTTTTTCAACATTGTTTTTGAGACTGGTTCCTACACTGAAGAGCACCAAAAGGGCAATTTTGCACAATCTCTACACATCCAAGTAGCACTCCTGTCCCCTAAAGTTTTGATAAATATTGTGTTTTGTATTTATTCAGTGGTTGCAGCATTTAAATCTCACAGAGAGTTCATTATTCTGGTTCTCTGCTGTCTGTGTCATGTGTCATTGCTCTTGCTGCTCGGAGCATTTCAGACCTTGTCCGATGTCTGACCTCATTCCAAGGCTTTAGTTTCAAGCACAACACAATTATTAGAAGTGATTGTTAATGAGATAAAATAGAAATATTAAGGAGGGCTTAATACTGCTGCTAAAACTGATTACCAACATATTTAAAGGTATAGTATGTGGCTTTTTGGAGGTAGCACGTTACCTGCATGATTCCATGGAAATGAAATGAAAACCATGCTTAGGAACATTGTCAATGAAGAAACGTTTTATGCATGCCATACGGTGGAGCATCTTTAACAGCATTTCAATAGAAACAGTCAGGGAAATCATAAACAAGAGAAAAAGCTGATATATTTTGCACATAATTTTACAGTACATTCACTTTTCATGTGACACTTGAATATCTCAATCAAAATATTTACAGACACATTTTTGATGGACTGCAAAAATATGACTGAATTATGAAGATATACATTTTTGTAAATATTGTATTACAGAATCAAATTGTGTTTAGAACAGCTCATAATGTGTTTGTGCATTCCTCTTTTGACAGACTTGCTCCACAGTGTATGGTGAACCCTCATCGCTCAGTGTTAGGAACAGGGAATTATGATGTTAACGTCATCATGGCAGCACTACAGAGCCGGGAGCTGGCTGCCGTGTGGTGGGACAAACGCAGGTGTGTTTCGGTGACGTGTATCCTTTAAAAATATGAAAATGCTGCACTATTTGTAACCGTTTTTATGTTTCGTTTATTTCAGAACAGTACAGAGTCTTTGTGTATCTAAGGTCCTAGGGTTTATCCTCAATGTCCCATCACGCATCTCCCTCGGGATAGTCTCACTCCCGCTCCGACGGCGGCACTGGCTCGCTGTTCGCCAAGTTACGGGACAGTACTACAACCTGGACTCCAAACTGAAGAATCCTGTCTGTATCGGAGGAGAGGCAGAACTACGGTAAGTGCAGGTTAAATGAAGATACCTGTCCCTTGGGACCCACATTCTGTATATTCTGTATTGATTAGTTGTTTACAGTTGACTTAATGCTGTCATGATAATTACTATATCAACTTATCGCTCAGTATTTGTTGGATGGTCAATATTTATCGTGGGTAGGTACTGTTTCCTTGTTCTACTGGGGAACATTTTGTTATTTTTTAGTACTATTATTAAATTTGAGCTGTAGAGGTTTATAACAAATAACTTCTATGGCTTATTATAGATACAAACAAACTACTAAAGTGCTATTCTGCAGTAGAAAAAAGGTGTGGGGTTAAATAAGTATTTGCTTCCTCCGACTCCTTTTTCGGACACAAGTAAAATCTGCGTGACATTTATTTTTGTTTATTATTATAGAAAAGACATAATATTTTTTTGTATTATGCATGTTCTATGCATTACTGTCCAAATAAAGATTCATTCATTCTATTTATTTATTGCAGCTCATGCTTTTTTAATGATATTGTGCATTATATTTTTTGGAGAATAATCCTGCTTTAGAGTTACTGTGTCAGTGGCATGTACAAGTTTCAGTATTATTATATATTATCTATATTTTTCTTGAGTTGCTGTACTGGATCTATCAAATGCTTTGCACGGACTTATAAAAGATACAGATGGTTATTTATACAAAATCCCCAAAATGTATGACTATGCAGGGTAGCACTATTTTCATAGATACGGAAGTTTCAGAAACTTACACGGTTTCAGTTGTTAGAAGAGTCCATTATGTTTGACCTGTATGTTAATCTCAAACCTTTTTTACATTTTAAAATGGCGCTATTCTTTTGTATAGTGTAGTTTGTTGTTTTTTTGTTTTTTTTATCCCAGCACCACAGCTGATTAAAAGCTATTTCATCTTTTAATGCAAATTTCCTTTGGTCTTCATGTGCTCACATTAGAGACAGCAGCTGGGTTATCTGACATGTGATTTGAGATGACGAAAAACAATGTACATGTTTTGTTTTGTTTTTTTCATTGAGCCATTATTTAAAAAAAAAAAAGCTACTTTGGACAAAACATTATTGTCTCACACTTGCCTCTCTTCGTGACTCATTCCTTATGGGCAGTCACATGAATCTTGTATCACTCTTGTTGGTGAAAACAGTGCATTTGTTTTTGCCTGCTCGCCTTTGTTTTTTGAGTTTGTTAACATTGCATCTTGTTTCTCACACACAGCACTTTTCTCAGTGAACAGCTCTCTCAGGAAGTGGCCGATGCTCTTAGTCGTCCAGAAGGAGGTGGAGGAGGACGGATCTTGGCTGATATCAGATGACCTCAAGAAGTGATGCCTTGTGAACTCTTTTACCTTTATAAGCATGGTTGAAAACTATATTAGATAACTTTTTTTAAGAACTTGCTAAAACTAGAACGTCCACTACTTCAGGGAATGCACTATACGCAGAGGAAACTCCAAAGAGACGCAGAGGTGGTGTTCAAACTGAATGCAGTATTTTCTCTCTCTGAAATGACCAATGTAACTGACCAACATGTTTGTTAAATACGCCAGGAGACAATGTATGGAGCGCAACAGTGGGCAAAGTTATCTGGTTGTGAAAGCAAAATAATTTAAAGATTTCTTTGACCCATAGGCTTTATTGGGAATGAGATGCAGTATGTTACGTGATAAATGGGAAGAAAAGTGAGGAGAGACATTTGGCAAATTGTCAGAGCTCGGAATTATGTTACAGAACCTGCAGCCTAGACGCTCTAGTTTAATTTAAAGTAGAAATTCTCATTAATTATCCCATAAACTTGAATAATTTAAATATTAAGAGTTTAAATTGTGAATAAAAGGACCTTACTTTACTTACTTTATATTTTAGAAACTGGATTTAGCCAATACTTTTTGATTTTTATAAAATTGGCTAAAACTTCAAACAAATATTTTAGTTTTTTGAGACGTTAATGGGAAAAAAATAATACATTTGTTTTCAATTTATTTCAGTTCCAGAACCAGAAGTCCCCACCCACTATTGAGCTCCACAGTACAACTATTATTAATTTACCTGCCTATAACAGTAGCATATAAGAGTCTGTCCACCAAAGTGCACCACACCTTTTCTCATCTTCACTGAAACCTTTCTATGCACTGCAATTAATTTAGCCACAGTTTTGTCTTTGTGTTTTCTTTAACTTGCCCATTGTTACCACGAAGGTATTTTTTTTGTTGACAGCTTTTGCATGTCATTTTTTTCCTTTGTTCTCGTGTTTGTTTATGGTACGATGTTTAGGGTGCGTTCACACTTGTCCTGGTTTGAGCCTTGTTGAGTTCTGATGTAGAATTGGTTTGGTCCTGCTCTAGTCCTGGTTTGGTTCCAGGTTTTGACCCATTTTTGATGTGGTGTGTGTGCAACTGTGAAAGTACCCTTAAGAAGAAAGACTTGTACCTATGTGTTTTTAAGTTTACCTAAATAATTTCAGTTAATAACTTCACTATTTATAGCCCTTATAAAATAATAATCCTTAACTCATATTGAAAGAATAGTTAAAAAATTATTCAGGCTTAGCAACTAATTAAAAGGACACGCTTTCTGATATATTTTGTATTCTTGCTTCCTGGACGTACCTGGAGTTGTTTTGTTTCTTCACAGGAAGTTTCACTGTGTTTTTAAACTCCATTTTCACTAGAATTATATGAAAATTTGCAATCCTGGAATTGCCAATCTCTATTAAAGGTAAAAAGTAGCTGAAAACTACTACTTCATGACATCACAAGGTAGAAGAGAGTATTTTGAGCTTTGGAGGTGCAAACAGACTAATAACAAAGGGTTACTAAAACATAAATTATCCCATAGACTTGAACAAACACAGCTGAATTAAACAAAACACAACTTCAGGTATGTTTTTGCAGAGGTAACATTATATCATGTCTCAAAGCCCACAAGAGTCAATTTATTGTAATATAAGTTTGACCTTTAAGGTATAATTACAAAATGTATGAATCATTTTGCAAATAATAGAAATAATATACATTTGTGTAAAGTAAACTAATTATCCTCGTGTTTTGAGAGCTTATGGAAAAAGGAAGACTGACTGTTTTTTATTTAAAACGTGCAAAAACAGTGATTTGTGACCATACGTTTGTGGTGTCTCTTGTACCTAACTATGCATATCCAAAGAGGCACTGTTCGTTGTTGACACTAGTGAATGAAACTGTATGCATAAGCCTAATATTAGTTTATAATATTCACAATGTATTTATATTAAACTTTGTGTTTTGGTAATTCTGCTGTGCTGCTGCTGTGTTTCTTCACATAAAAGTCAGTTGAATATCAGGTTATTTAAGTTATTTTTATTTATATATTAGACTCTTGAGTGTAAAAGGATGCCATTCAAAAGGAGCATTGATAATACCTTACAAACTCAATTGAAGGGTTAACAAGGTCAGTTGGCAAGGAAGGGGGATTCAATGATTCTCCAACATACCATAACATATATACACAAAACAGCTCGGAGAAGTTTCAGAAACCCAATGCTATATATAGTGTTTATTGCTAGTTACGGTAGGGCCACTGCAGTGCCAGTAGCAGTATATTGCTGTGTACCCGTTGTCGTTGGATGGGGTTTGTAGTTTTTCCAGTTTGTAGTTCTCCATTTTATCATTTAACCAGGGACTGTTGCGCCCCATATTTTTTATTGAAAGGTTCATGATTATATAGATATTATAGACAGTGAGATATACAGAATACCATTAGGTAAATACGAGGAAAGGACAGAAATGCCACCTATAAAAAAAGTAGAAATAAAAAAATACCAAGTGAGGAAACTGCATAACCATTCACAGAAAAAATGTGTAATGTTGCTAGCGGCAGTGCTTTTCTACAACAATATTTATATAAAACGTAAAAATAAAATGTTTGTATATTAAAGAAACTCAGAGGTGGGCAGTAATCTGTTACATTTACTCGAGTAACATTAAAAACAATTGTACTTCACAGAGTAGTTTTCTGACAGCATATTTTACTAATATATAATATATATTTTCAGTAACAGTACTCTTACTTGAGTAAAATGTTTTGGTCACTCTTTCCACTGTGAGTCGCCTATATGTGGCATTAATATTATTTATGTTGCTGTTGACTATATTAAAGGTACACTATGGAACATTTCTAGTGTAAGGTCCGCCATTTTCTTGTATCCATGTTATTTCTTTGCCTGGACTGTTCCACAATATGGCATTAAATGTATCTATTTATCACCAAAATCGAGAGGGGAGCCCACAATAAGAATAAATGTTTTTCATGGTATTCTAAGTAATAAAAATAGCTGTAATTACAATAATTGCAAGATAGATACGATTAGTAACATACTGTGGAAAATTTCAAAGCAACATCATCGTCATGGAGACTAGATGTAGTGAACCCTCCTCCCATCAAGTTACATAGTGCACCCTTAAATGATTTACTTTTCTTGCGTCTTACCTTTACAAATGATTCATTCTTCACATTTCATTGAATTCTTTAGGAAAATGCCAGAGTCTTCCCAATTATATAAACTCTATTGATACTTTGCACTGACATCACTCTGGGGGTGTAACATGTATCGCTATGGGCAAAATGTTAAACAGTTACCATGGTGACACAATTCACACATGAGCAAAAACAGCCAAAAATACTTTAATATCATCTGAAATACAAAATGGATTTAAACGACACATTTTCAGGAGCCTGTGATCAATACAAGAGTTCATGGTCCAGTTTAGGTGTTTGATTTTCAGCTAAAAAGTTGAGATTGCCCAACTGAAAAACTAACACACAACACAGAAATCACCTCACCTGTTGTTGCTCCAACTAAGACAGCTCTTTATGGTCAGACTGTGTTAAAATAAAGCTCAGATTAAGTCTAACTTGAGTAACAGAACTTCAGACAGAGCAGTGCTTTTAGTTAACTTCACACCCCCAAGGGAATATTGATGACCAGCTGCAAAGTATCAATATCATAAGCCAGGTGTTACGTCCAAACACTTGAGTAGCTTAATATATGCACCAAAAGCTGTATATTTTTACTCTTACTTCAGTACAATTTTGGCTACCCACCTCTGAAGAATATAACTACATTGCAGTAACTCCATACCATCTGAACTGCTCATCACTGTTCACAGTTTACACAGAAGTTTCACAGACATGGGGTAAACACTTCCACCTTGACTTTCCTTTACATTGTTCTCCGACATATTTGCAGTCCTGTTGCTTTAAGTGCTTTTTTAAACAATACTTAGTGGTTCGGATGTTACGTTTCATAGTAGATCTCACATCTAGCATTCAGCTTATTTAGATTAGTAAGTTTTCTTTTCAGTAAAGTGTCCATTCATATGAAAACTAAACATTTTTTCTATACATTTCCTAACAAAAAAATAATCAACGTGAATACAAGTTCCTCGAATGGGCAGGGTTGGGGTGTGATTGGCCTCCCCCATATCCAGTCAGCATGCTGGGAGAGTACTGTTACCAGAGGTGTCCGAGGAGGAGTCGAGAGAGTGGTCCCAAAGAAGAAAGGGGAAAAAAAAGGAAAGATTATTCAACAAAATGAACAGTTAAAACATGTTCGTCTCACAAGCTTAGTTTTGTTTGTACGAATTTAGAAGAAAGAAAACATCATAGGGCAGGGAACTATTGTACGCACTGTATAACCGCATAATACAAGAACCAACGTTTACATGCAGACCATAAATCTGATCATGATCTGATTTCTGGAGTTATCGGATTACTGAATGAACTATGTAAGTAATCAGATTTCTGTCTATTTGTTCACACTTATGTAGGTTGTAAAGTTAGATAATCCAAAAAAGGGCAAACTAATGTGGCAAAGACCAAAATGAAACAAAAAAAAGCAAAATATTTAAGTAGTTATTTTAAAATTAATTGTACTTTACGCTAAAATTCTAACAAAAAACATTTATTAACTAACACATGTCACAATATTTTTGATAATCAGATTTCTATTTCTAAACACAAACTCCAAAAATCAGATCTAATTATTTGCTTATTGGATTATTCGAGTTATCTGATGCTCATATTGCCTGGCCAGTCCAGAATGTTATCTCTATATATATATATTTCATTTTTTTGTAAAGTATCGGAGAAGTTTGTATTCAGGATCCCAGCCAAATGTAAATGTATCCAGTCTGATTAGTGCAAACTAAAAACATTTTTAAAGTTAGTTTTCTTAGACTCAGACAAATTTTATTGATCCACAAGGGAAATTATTTGAATTTAATTATTATTTCTTATTTATTGTCTATGCATTTATGGTCATAAGGTTCTAGAATAAAAATGTGAAAGCACGGGGAGGTAATATATTGGTTTGAAAAGGATTATAATGTGGATGTCACAAATAACCAATGTCGTATTTCCAGTCAGTTGTCAGCTGCTGGCCAACTAATGCTATCAGAATTAAAAACCGCCTGCCCAGAGTGAGAAAAACATGAGAAAAACCTCTTAAATAACATTGGTAAACAAAGAGTTAAGCCTTTGTCCATTTGATTAATTCATACATTCGTAAATGGAGCAGCAATGACCAAATGGCACAGATCACAAGAACAGAGGAACTCACAGAGGGGGGTGGGGACTGCCTGTCAGTCAGGGGAAGGCTCTCATAACCAGGGTTGCCATTGGAGGAAACGTTTTGAGTCCTGTATAGAGATAGAAAGAGACAAGGACAGAGGAGGAGGAGGATGGAGGATGAAGAGGGAGATCGGGGTCAGACACATCAAGAAAAAAAAAGGCAGGGAAAGCCGAGGGTATGACAGGGACCAAAGGGAAGAAGGATACAGATTGATTAGAAATACTAAATAGGATAAAATAGCACTGTGGCTCAAGCAGTTCAGCAAAAACATGTTTTCTAGAGAATTTCAGCTCTACTGCAGCTGCTTCCTGTACGTTCTAAAGGATATCCTGTGTTAACCAGTATCTCAGTTAAAGCAGTCTGCATTAAACAACTATTTGCAGGATTTATTTTTTAAAGATGCACTACGTATCTTTCCATAGAGATCTCATTGCTTTGTCTAGAATGTTCCACAGTATGGCATTACGTTTTAAATGATCGGGTGGTGCAATTAGGCCAAGTTACAGAAGGAAGCCCACTCACAATAAATATGCAAATATTTTGAATAACAACACCCATAGTGAACTAATTGCTTTCTATATGTTTAATGCCATACTGTGGAACATTCTAGTCAATACAATAGAATCTGGAGAGCAGCAGGTGAGTTACATGTTGCATCTTTAAATATTCATAAGCATTGGTTATCTGCGTCCATAGATATAAAATGTACACAGAGTCGTTTATGTTCATTTTTTTTTTCATATTTTCTGTTTTGGTTCTCAAGCCAATTAAAGTTAAAAAATGCATAGCACACTCAGATGGCCGATGTCCAAAAACTTCTTTATTTTTAAATAACGTTTCGGCAAAAAAAAGGACCCGTGAGTTATTTTTCTTGCTTTGGACCACAGTACAAGCCAGTTAACAAATTTATTTGAAAATCAGATCTAATTTTGGGTTGCCAGATCTACTTACTATATGGCATCACAGCAATAGCATCCCAGATTCAATTTAGTTTAGTTTACTTATTTAATGAGACAGAGACAGTGCACAATCTACATTAACTTTAACAGGAGAGATGCACTGTACCAGATTGTAGCACCAGAGCTAATTTCCACCTGTAGTCCCTGGGCAGTCGTGATTGTATTGCCATGTATAAACCACTGGAATTTCTTACCATTTAGTAAGCCAATGTTTGATTATTATTACTATTATTAATGCTATATCACAAGTTTTCTACAGAATTAATAAATAATCACCCACTAGTACCTCAACAAAGCACTAAAATAGTTTTGAATTGTCAGTAAAGGATCAAACAGGAAGAATATAACCAGGAATGTGGATATGGGGTCAAAATAAAAAGGAGAAATGAGAAGCAAAAAGCAGCAGAAGATAGAACTGGAGAAGGAGGTCCGATGGAGGACGGTGTGGGGAGGGGAGTTAGATCCACGGGAGTTACCTATGGGACCCTGAGCCTCACCGCGCCGCAGGAGTTTTTAAGCGTTGCCGTGACAACAACGAGTCAAAGTTGAGTGAAAATGAGCGTGCGGCACTATATCGTCTGTCCTGAAACAACCAACATCCGGAAAGACAGACACACAGACAGACAGACAGACCTGCAGCTGTGTCTGGGTCTGCCTACACTATACACTACACACTATACACTCTGCTCTATGTCTGTGGCTCTCTACGCTTAGGCCTGTCACGATAATTACTATATTGACTTATCTTTCAATATGTGATAGATGGAACAATCACTTTTGGGGGTCAATATTGATATTTTTTCAATCAAATCTGAGCTGTAGAGGGTTGAATAAATGACTTCTATGACTCATTATAGATACAAACTGTGCTGTACTGTGTTTTATTCTGCTATTTATTTAAAGTAGCTCATGTTAATATAATAATGCACATTTAGAAAAGCTTTTTGCGGGGAGTCTTAATAAGTCAGTGGCATAATTTAGTTTCAGTATTATTGTGTATCGTCTATATTTTCTGTATCACAATATAGGAATATATCACACTTTGATATTTGTTATCGTGACAGGTCTACACTCTACACTCTGCTCTATGTCTGTGTGTCTGTCCACTACTCCTGCTCTCCAATCAGCTCCTGTCTGTCTCACTTCATGATATTCTGTGTCTGTCTCTCTGTACACTCCCTCCACTCCCTCATGACCTGTCTGTGTGTCTGTCTGTAGACCAGGCCTGTGCTGAGCCTAACTAACTAGTGCCAGAAGTCTGTAGCTGACTGATCTGTGACAATGCTCTGTTACTATTAGTATTTAGTAACCCGTACATGGACTTCCTAGTGTACTTTAGTTACTTCTTTAATGTTGTGATGAATAAATGTGTGTGACTAAGCCGTCTGTCTCTCCTGCCCTCGTCTGTATTTTGGGTGTAAAGGACCAGGTCTAGGGTAGGCACATGTGGATAATGTGGATAATGAAGTTACTCAGAAACACTCACTCATGAGTTTGATTTAAAGGAGATCTGTCTCACTGTCTGTCTGTCTGTGTGTCTGTGTGCCGGTGTTACTCACGGGAGGGGTGGGGCACTAGAAAAAGGGGGTGTCCACCCGGAGCCCGGGTAGTTATAGAAGGGGGCAGTGGCCCCTCGCTGAGACCCCGAGGACGTCTGTCTACGTGCCTGATGCGAGGTGAAGGGGTCCTCACTCTCACTGTCCGAGTCTTCGTAGTCTTCAGATTCACTGTTGGGACAGAGAGGGGCAGAGGTGTGAGCAGAGCAACTCAGGGCTTCTATCGCTTTATTCATAGACTGCAAATATTAGTTACAATGACTTGAAATTTGGAATATTTAGGTGGGTTTGACTAGATTCATAAACTAATAGGACCTAAATGATCAAAGTTGACTGACTGAAATCCGCCAATGGAGAAAATGCATTCTTCTTCCATACACTATTTGCCAATGAGGTGAGACTGAAATAAGAAGCAATGTGCTGAAAACAGGCTGAAATGATTTGAAACAAGTAAAATAATCTTGGTCCATCATGTGAATTTGTCTAAACTAATCAAAACAACTGACAACACTGACATTAATATCAATATTCTGAAGTAATTGTGTTTCTTGAATCTATCCACACATGATATGGGCATGATGTGGTCACTGACACACACTGAAGAGGATAAGTTTGACCTCTGACCTTGGGAAGCTCCTCCAGGCTCCGGGCAGAGAGCAGAGGATGGCAGTGAAGGCCAAGGCGGAGAGGAAAGAGTAGAGCGACAGATACAGCAGCCCCTCCATGCCGTCATAACACAGGCCTTTCAAAGAGTCAATGTAATCCTAAAACAAAACAGGAATTCTGTCAGACCAATATAGACCTGTATACAGTGAGATTAGACGAAGAGCCGCACTTTGTTCAGGCCTCGACAGTTGAGCAGAGCCACCAGCTGATGGAAGTTTCCCTCTGTGGAGTTCAGGATCTGCTGGACCTCCCTGAGTGATTTCTGTAATAACACACGTGTCATTAGAGACATGAAACCATTTAAAACATTGAGCTCATTTGGTTAATCACAGCTGTGTTACCTCGGCTTTGGGGAACTGTGGCAGTGCATTTCTGTCTAGACTGGACAGATGTGTGTGAATGTTGGACAGCGCCCTCTGAGACTGGGTCAGCAACTGCAACGACAATAATCCAAAAATGTCAAGTGGCAGTTGTGTCTGAGCCAAACAGCATCTGTGATTAAATGTATCCTTATATACACTACACTCACATACAATCTACACTGAAAAAAGCAATATTTGGAAGCAGTTTTGTCAAATAATAATGCATAAGTCTTAAAATTTTATATATACATTGTTCATTCACTCTCCATACTGGGTCACGGTAAGATATTATTTTAGCCACAGCTGCCCTGACATAAGGAAGGCTGCCAATCTGTGCCATCTCACAAACCCACACACATCCCATTCATACATATGTAGATTTTGGATGAATAAACAATGTTAGTTTCAGTACATTTCTTCTTCTCTCAATCTAAATTATGAGCTAAAGGGATGAAAAAAAATTATTATTGAAAATGCATTGTATTTCAAACTAAATTAAGTCAAAAGTCAAAAATTCAAGAAACAAGTTACATAATTTTGGCCAAATAAGTAAATAGCCTAAATCTCAAGTTCTGAACTATAAAAAAGAAACAAAAATCAATATTAGAGTGCCCTGATCTCTGTTAGAATGTTGCTCCCTTATCACAAACACGCCTGGAGTTGTGTTTTGTTTCATTCACACACTGTATGTTTAACACACAAACTCAGTATATTTAGGCTTCTCTCAAAGTGAAAAGTGTCATGTGGTAATACAGGAAATACTCTACTGTGTTTTTAAACTCTACACACCTTCCCTAGAATCATTTGGATGCTTTCAACCCCGGAAATGCTCTCTACTGAAGCATTACTCAAACATGGGTGAAAGAAACAAAACACAACTCCAGGTATGTTTCTGATGAGGTAACAAAATTATAATATTACTTAAAGCTCACAGTGTAATATAGGAACTTTAATATTCAGAATTTTACTAATTTCAATGCATCTTATATATTCCTTTTTTGCCGAGTCTAGTCTAATACTTCACTGGTTTCAGTGGTTTATGAAATTACCTGCTGGTACGGGCTGTTCATGCGGCGGTTACAGGTGAGGTAATAATCCAGTACATCTGAGGAGCAATAAAAACATCAGTGCACAAATATAAAACATGCAATATCACTGATAATACAAACTAGTCTTAATGTGACCTGTTTAATACCTGCTTTACCTGCACTGGTCCCACTGCTGAACTGTGTGGAGTTCAAGACAAAGGAGTTTGGGTCTGAGCAGAAGTCACTGAGGGCCTGTCAAGAAAAACAGAGAGATAAATGAGAGAAAGAAATCATGGAGTGCATTAAAAACAGATATTCAGTTATATTTACTTAAATATATGAATTAAATGACTTTTCCAGTATCCTATTTTGTTACTTCTGCTTGAGTATTTTGAAGTCCATTTTATTCTTAAGTAATATTTCATTATTTCAGTGTTTTTGTGGCCCACTCTTAAGAAATTGGTAGTTTTCAGATTCTTAAATGTGATAATGGGGGGAGGGCAAGAGCTAGTTTTCCCTATTGATTACATTGTACTTTACCATGAACTATCCAAAAGGTAAATTCACAAATGTTGAACCTGATCACTTCTATATTACATTCACTGTCTCTAACGCAAAACCAGGTACTCATGGTATTATTCGCACTAGTGTCACTAAATACTTTTATATTAGAGCTGCAAACTTAAACATAATCAAATCAGAATCGCAATTTGATGCAATGAGCAAATTGGAAAGGGTGTCATTTTCAAAATATCATAATTTTTTCACAAATAACAAGCATTCTATCCTTTACCCCTGTACAAACTTGTCCTGAAATGTAATTCTTGTATTACGGTAGTTTGTCATTTCATATTTCAGTATTTTTGCCAATTCTCTTAGACACGTTTAAAACAGAAGTCTATTGTTATAACATAAATTGCAAATCTAATGCTTGTCAGGCTATTACTTTGGGCTATTACTTAAGAGTACCGTAATATTGTTTAATGTATCCTAAAAATGCCCTTACCTGAGTACACTTTTGTCTCCTCTGTTATAAACCATATGATTAGACCTACTGACACACTGACCCTTTCTCAGGTCTGAATGTAATGTAACTGCAGACAGCTATTGATCTGTGCTGCCTACATCCAGCTCTGCCCTCATTTTACTGCGCTCAGCTTCAGCATGAGGCCAGATATATTTCCATTAACCCATTATAACTGGAGCACCATATCCTCAGGAGTCAGAGCAGCTGATTTCTGCAGCTTTGATTTAGTTTCTAAAAATGAACATTATAAATCTGCTGACTAAATTAATCTTATTTCACTGACAGATAATTGAGCTGTAAATAAGAATACTGAAAAATCACGATTAGCTACTTCTAGACTACGCAAATTAAATAACTATAAAAACTTTTAACAATGTTTTCTTTTGCAATGTGGTTTGTTGTGACCACAAGCATGAGACAGCCTCACTAGAAGAGGGAAGGAAAGGAGCACTGAAAGTTTGTCTAGACCTAATAAAAACAGACCTACATGATCAACACTATAAGACAGATTCATGTGATTATTTTTTTTATTTTTTTTTTATTGCCACATACGTTGGCAGTATGGCATAAAGCATATCTCCATGAAGAAAGTTTTGAAGTCTGGTTTTGACTCTAGGAAGTTCAGACTTATTCTAAATGCGTCAAAGTTAGTCAAAGTTTTTTATTGTCACAAGAGAAACCAGACAACCCCACCAGAAGAGGGAGTAAGAGGAGCACTGGTAGTTCGAACCCTGACAGAGGAGGGTGACCCAGGCGGAGCGGAGGGCAGCCAGAGCCTACAACCAGCCCATTGTGTGTGGCTATGATCAGGGACAGAGCCTCTCTATGTGCCCGTGGGCTTTGGGACATCTCCAGACAGCTCCACAAACACTCAAATGCCTAAACTGGGCAAAAACAGCCACTGAAGTACTAGAAATGTCTGGAGTCTGGCTAGCTCAGTGTTTGTTACTAATTAGGACTGTGTCACACTAGAAAAGGTTATATTTACGTTTTACAAATTGATGGTGTCATAATCTCAGACAGTGAGCAAGGGTCTATGCATTTTTATGGAGGTTTTTGAAAGAAATTTCCAAAATAGATATCCACAAATGTTATCATTATGTATTAAACCGCAATGTTAATCAAGACTTTTCAAATGACAACAATTATACTTTATGAGCTGAAAAAGTGAAAAAATATCACTTGCGTTTATTTGTCCTCACAGAAAAGTGAGTGCCAGTTTCAGTACTATGTGGATAGACCCAGTAATTATAGAGATATTATTTTAATTTATTGACCTTTATTTAGCCAGGATTGTCCCACTGAGATTAAGAATGTACTTTTCAGGAGAGACCTGGCCTCACAGGGGACCCTATTGTACACGTTTTTAGTTAACCTTATATTAACCATAAATCTGGATGACAAATCTGCAATCTGACGTGTCCTCCAGCTCAATTTTGAACCAGAATGTTTTGATGTCATGTGAACTCAACCTAAAAGGAGTACATAAGAGCTACATTTATTTATTTAATTGTCCAAGGGGGAATTTCTTGTTACAGACATGCAATTTCCTGCTTGGAGATAAAGGATATTTTTTTAAAGAATTAAATAACACTATAAAATTTATATTTATTAATAACCCCCCAAAAAGAAACAAGAAGAAAAAAATCACTTTTTACTCATTAGTTTGATCACATCTGATGCACTGAGGCCTTTTATTGTTATGTACAATTGCACTATTTTGCCTTTTAATTGAACCGTTTTCAAAAATAGCCTCTTTAGCAAATACTCGCTGATTGTTGATTAATGTACACCTGCTAAATAAACCAAAACAAAACAAAACAAACTAGGAATGTCACATGGGCATACAGAGACAAGGGCAGCACAGAAAAAAAACAAAACTGCAAATTTGTTTGATATCGGCTGACACTGATATTGGTACACCCGTCACCAACTTAAAGTGTGGGCCAAAGTTTAAGAGGTTCTCAAAGCCAAAAAGGTTCTGTTAAATCTACCACACACCTTGTGAATACACCCTAATCTCACACCAAGGCAGTGCCCTTTACAAGAGCAATGCCTCAAAAGTGCTCGTGTTACAATGATTACACATAACTTCTTTATTAAATCCAACTACAACCAACCTCTTTAAGAAACAAGCGTCTCAAATGCTTTTCAGTTTTAACATGTCCCTCTGTATCTTGTATGGGTATTCTTCTAAAACGCACTTTCCCAGTCTATCGTCTTCACCCTCTCTCTGCTCTCTTGTTCATCGTCTATATTTACCTCTTAAACTGAACACCCACCTCTTACACGCACACAAGAAGCACACAGTTCGCAAACACACGCACACACTGAATCTTTAATCTCTGCCCTATTTTTCTGCTTTTTGGTCCTCTGCCACCGCTGCAGCGTTCCCTAGGAGGCAGCTCTTTTCACTGGAGCACAATAAAGGCAGAAATTACAAAACACATGACACTAATAAGCCATCTAAAAGCACCAGTCTCTGCTTAGGATGCAACAATAACTGTGATACTCTGATATAGCAATTAGAAAGGTTGCGTATTAAAGTTGCACTGTGGGGTTTGTCATCTGCTTGTCTCCATGGTAATGCTATTTGTTGCCTTGAATATTCCATTATATTGCATTTATTTATCTATCCAGTATCCATCCAATTGAATACATAAAATGACCTTGACAGCATGTATTTTTACTGTGAGTGGAGCGGTGTCGTCCCTCTACAGATTTGACTTTTAACCGGTGTGGCTCACCTTTTTGTCTTTGTCATGGAGATAAATTTAATGTCATACTGTGTAACATTCCCAGCAAAGCAAATACATCTCCATGAAGACAAGCAGATGCAGACCCAAAAGTCACAAATTTCATCTTTAGTAATGTGTATAATATCACTATGAAATCGCAAGCTCATAAAAAAACCTAAAACAGCGGGAACTACAGAGACCATGATTCTTTGATTAGTCAAGCCCATATAAATTAATGCTGCTAAACATTTGATAAAATTATAAATATTATGACTGTAAAGATAAGGTTCAGCAACTCCCACATTTGTAAACTGTTCACCTGCATTTGACCCCAGTTGGATCCTTCAGTGCTACTTGAGTAATCTCAGTGAGTGGTTTCAGTGCTTAATCTAGGGATCCAGATCTTAAGTTAAGTTTGGTCACTTCCTTAACTGGATAATTAGCTTGTTGTGCGTGTTAAGATTGATTGTGACAAGATCTGAATAAATATTGGACCATAAGATTTAAATATTGTTACTTCTCTAGTTTCTACCATTGATTGTCTGCTGTTTGTTTTGACTCTCCCGCTCTGCTTTGAATCAGGTCTACTCACCACTACAGTGGCCGTCTCCAGACCCAAGGAGCCCCAGCTGAGGAAAAGAGCCAACCACGCCAACACTGTCATCCTGTGAGACAAGCAGGGAGTCCCTCAGTGAATACAGAACAGAGCTTTTATAATCAAACATCTCATTTACATTATGGTATAACGCTTACAAAATGAGGAGCCAGCGCGCCTGTTTGGCCAGTCCCAGCAGAATGAACAAACACACAATGAGGTCCAACAGAAGCAGCAACACATATGAAAGCCACCTGAGACACAAGACAAAAGATACAGCTTATTACCACAGTGAGCTTTAAGGGTTTGTACCTGATCTTAATGTATTAATGTCAAGATTAATTCTCTTTACATCATGCATTCTATGATAAAAGCTGTCAATTTTACAGAAAATAATTGTAGCATTTTCTATAATTAATACAGAAGCTACTGGTACACTACTACTTTTCAAACACCACACTTTTTCCATTTTTTTACTGTATACTGTTGACCAAAACATTCTAAACTTTTGATTCATGAATATAGCCACCTTGGGAAGATACAACAGCTGAACACACTCGTGGCTCGTTCTTTTTACAATAGAAATTAAATATTCTTCAGAAAGTTCTTCCCAAGTGTGTTGCATAAGTTTCCATAAATGTGTGGCACTTGTTGTTTAGCTTTAATTTTTCTGTCCAGTTCATCCCAAAACCAGCTCGATGGGGTTTAAGTCTGGAGACTGTTCTAGACACTCCATGTTTTCAAGATTATCAGCTTGTTTTTTTTCCTGAGGTAGTTTTTGGCAGAACTTGGACTTGTGTTTTGTTCTCTTTTATCTTTTTTTCAACCTCTGGCTGTTCAGTACTTTTACCTTTGTACCATTTCAAGCTCTTCATTGGAACTTGCACAACTTGAATTGCAATAAATAACTGGAAAAAAATTGAGAGTTCTAAAACATTTGACTGTACATTAATCTTTCCTCACCCAATTATGCACACTGTGACTAACGATCAAGGGAAACCAACTGCCTGACACAATCCCAGACACCAGGTTCTTTGTCATGGTGTATTTTCCAAGAGTGACAAATAAACCACAGGCATTTATTGGAGAACTGTGATGAAGTAAGTGCATGACACTATCCCAGACAATTGTTTTTGTGTCATGGTGCAACATCACAGTGGAAGAAAGGACTAAGTAGATAAGGCTAAAAGTTCCTGACTCATGGTTTAGGTACAGGCTGTATTAAAGTTACATAATACAATGACGTTTATTGTCACATTTGTAATAACTGAATTTATTTGACTGTTTCACCAGGTGTGTGTGTCCCATGTGTCTTACCTGTAGTCCTCATTGACCATGAGTGTGTTGGCGGCCCACCCCGGGCTGAAGGGGCTGGGCATGAGGCCACTAGAGGGCACCACAGTGGGGGCGACCGAGGGGGGCACAGGGGTCAGGGGGATGATGGAGGCCCCTGTGCTGCTGTCATTGCTCAGACCCAGGTCCAGGCTGCCCCGCGCCAGAGAGATGGACGAGAGCATGTTTATCACATTTTCAGATAACCTCCGGCAGTTCCTCGTGGACACTAGGAACGGTTTACTTCCGGTAAAGAGCTCCTCCATCGAAGCCAGTGGACCTGTGATGGACAACTGCAGCCCACTAATTGTGTCCGAAATCTGGAGAGGAAGAAAAGGTCGGTGCGTTAAGCGAAGAGAGAACCACAAAGTACGGATGGTGTCTCAAACAGTAAATGCAAAGTGCAGAGTTTTGTGGGTTGGGATCTAAGTGCTTGAGATAATGTACATCAGTGGTGGTTTTGGCCACAGTTTATAACACTATACTAAACAGTTTTATGTGGGTCTGAACCTAATGCACCTCTCATAGGGTTTAAAATAGTGGAAAACTAAACATTGTTTCTCATGTAAAACACTTCTTCACAGAGGGGTTGGTAATAGTTGTTTATTTACCTATAGTTATTCAAGTGTAATAATGAGGTTACAGTAGATAAATATTAATACTATGGCTTTGTTTCTTGTTAATTTGGTACAAGGAATTTGCCTGAATTGCCTTACAGAGGTGAAATGGATCGTTTTAGATTGTAGAGTGTGATAATGACCCACATTCTCCAATGGTGGGCAAGAGACAACTTCTTCTTTAGTGAAAACTTTGAATTTTTATGAGAAATATGCTAAAGGAAAATCCACAAATGTTGATCATTATCATTATTTGATCCAAAATCTCACTAAATCAGACTAAAAAAAAACATCATCACATCCTCACAACAATTTTGAGGACTTTTGACCATGCATTGCTACAGCCACGATCATAATAGTTCTACCCTCTGAAACTCATGAATCGGCCAAAAGAACATTGCGTCATGTGAAACCCAGTGATAGGGAAAGCTGTTTTGACACATGTCCAGTGAGAGGGCAACAGTGGGCAGTCGGACCCACAAACCACTGCCTGACCACAGAATACATCAATGGACCAAGAGGAGTGTGTGTTCTGCTATTCTGCTTTCCGACCACATCCTGATAGAGTCCAGGTTAAAGAGCATACAGAGGGTTTGACTTCTCATTTCTCTAAAACGGAGTTAACACCATTTTATTTAAGAATGTAAAAAAAAATAAAAATTGCCTATTTTTTCATAATTTCATAATTCATAAGTTTATAATTATACTTCCTGGTTGGACATGAACAGCAGATATGACACACACAGAGGTAATTTCAGCTTTTGCCTAGCAACCATACAGTAAACAATGATCAAAACTTGTCAAAATTACACAATAGTTAGGATTATGACTAATAAAAATAAACCTTAATCTAACAACAAAAATGTTGTGAAACTGTCCTTGTCCGTGCACTTTGAATGGAAATTTCAATGTTGATTACATAGTTACCAGTAAAAGCTATATTTGATTCATTTGTCTTGTATCTGGGGAAACAAGTTTATCAAATTTTTTATCTAAATCTTGCATAATTTAACTTGAAACTATAATAAATATTTACCATAGCTACTATCACACAAAACCAATAATTAGAAAAACTTGTCACATGCACTTTAAAGGTCATATATTATGCAAAATTTTGTCTTGTTTATGACCTTTAAGTCATGTTATAATGCTGTCATCTCATCAAAAACATACCTGGAGTTGTGTTTTGTTTCACACATGTTTGAGTAATTTTTTTTATCATTATTCTGTCTACATCTCCAAAGCTTAAAAAGCTCTGTTACACCTTGTGATGTCACGAAGCTGTAGCTACCACAACTCCAGGGATGTTTTTTGATGAGAAAACAACATATAACATAGATCAGAAAACAGAAAATACAATATGGGCCCTTTAAGACTCCACTCGGGCCGCTGTATTTCTCTCACATACATATGCGGTTCAACAGTCAGCACGAAATCGCCGTTGCAGAGCGAGCACTCACCAGTAGATCGATAGAAGCGAGCGTGTAATTGGCTGTGAGGAGGGACGAGGTCAACTGATACATCCCATCATTAGCCTCGCTGTTGCCATAGAAACCGACGCCTATGGCAACGCTGCAAAAGGGGGATAGAAAAAAAACAGAGAGAGAGAGAGAAAGAGAGGCATGAAAACAGCGTGGGAGCGAGTGCACTGTACATACGGGTGGGAATTTATTTATTGCATTGGGAGGACTAACATCAATATATTGATTACAGCTTATAAACAAGAAATGAACTAACACTGGTGACATAAATCCTTCATTATTAGATCAACAGCCTGGTATAAAGTTAATATATGGGTTAAATAGATAGAGAATATATAAACACTTAAATCTATCATCTTAAAAGTAGTGAAATTATCTGTCCATGCAACAAGATCATTTAATTTGACAAGTTATCTTAAAATAAACTAGACTAGAATTAAGCTGTCTCAGAACTAGTAAGTAGATTATAAATCAGAAAACGAGATGAATAACTATGTACGATATTTATTGTGATATTTTGGAGTGGCAAATATAATTCTAGACAGGACACTTTTTTGCTTTTAAAATACCTTTGGTGTAAATTATTACTGTCAGAATCCCAAGATTTCAAGTTAAAAACATATTTCTTCATGTTGTGTGTGCTGAAATGAATCATGGGATATGTAGTTCCCTATGTTTATTAGCTATTCCTACTAAAGAACAATGCATTTAAGCAAAGGAACTTGTAATTCGATATATTGTGACAGCTCTTCTGATGATACGATATCACGATATTTTGGTTATTGTTATATCCCTATGATTAACCTGATATAAGTTTTAAATCTTGGCCAGATCAGAGAAATTTGCTGTGTAGGATTTAGGTTAGGCTTATGCACGTAATGATGGTTAAGGTTAGGATCAATCTCCAGGAAATTAATAGAAATAAAGGCTGAACGCTTTGGGGAAAATATCTAATAGTGATTTTCCTGACAAGATTTGGATTTGTGTTTGAATAGATGGATTCAGGTCAAAGTTCAGGTTTGTCCAGAAGAACTGACATAAAGACAAATTAAAACAAGAATCACATCTCAGAACATGTTTGTACATATCTGAACAACAGGGTTAGCATTTTTTATGTAGAATAAGATAAGATATTTTGTTGTTTGTGGAGGAAATTAATGTATGTACAAGCAACTGTGATTTATCAGAATTATGTGTTAGTCAATGTAATGTCCCCAAGAAGCATTGAAACCCAACATGAGTGCGAGTGTGAGAAAAGCATAGCAGAGACGTGCATTTGATGTTTAATTCAGTGTGTACATTTTAAATAAGTGGTACGCGGAGATAGAGCTGTAAGAATAGGGCTTATATGAGCATACCAACAGTGCAATGCAGAGGTTCTGGATCAGAGAGAAGAGGGAAGCTGCTCTTGGCTCTCAACGGTTAAGCTCCAGTAAGAAAATATCATTGACTTAAACATAGGGGCACGTTTACGCATCTCTGTTATTTAAATATTCAGATTAAGGCAGAGGCCAGCTGTTCATCAAATCCCCTCCGCTCAGAGAGGAATGGTATGGTCCAATCTCCCACAAAGTATGTGACCCAGATTAGAAAGCAAGGCAAAGGCAGAAATGTGTGCTCTGCATTTCTAACTGCATCCTGTCCAGTGCAGCTATACATCATGTAATATGACATATATAATGTCCGGAAACTAAGGACTCAATAGACACAATCATGAAATTAATAATTGTTCTTAAAATGTAAAAAAAAATCATTGATGCGATGGTGGCACATTTATTTTATCTTATACGATTTGTGGATTTAAAATGTCACTTGTCTCTTCTATCTTAATTTAAAAATATCGTTACATATTTATGGTCCATTTACCATTCGTTCTTTTGAATTTTAAACAGTTTGTTATTTATCGTCATCGTGCCTATTTGAATTTTGCTATTTTGCTATTTTATTCTCTTCTAGCACGATAACTTCCGGGGCATATAAACCAATGAGATAAAATATCAAAATTGAAATAGGCACCAGGTTTTTTGATTGGCGTTATTTGAAATAAACTTTAAATTAAATATTGTAAATAGAGGTCAAAATCTTTTTTGTTTGTTTGTTTGTTTGTTGTTTCTGACACTTAAGGAGAGTAATGAAATAACAAACTGTTTTCCCATTTTATGGTTTTTTGTTCTTAATTGAAATTTAAAAGAACGAATGGTACATGGATCATTTATGGTAAAACTACGTGCAACAAAATGCTTTAACTACCAGTGTAATATCCATCTTGTTATGGACAATTAAGGAGATTTTTTATTTATTTATTTATTTTTTTTTGAGAGGAGAAGAGGTTTAAAAACATACAGGGGCTTCCGTCAAAAACACATTTTACACATAACTGCATCAACCTTAACTCCAAGTCGCTTATAGTCTCTTACAAAATTATTATACATACTAAAGGGCTCTAATTATTTCTTGTCATTCATGTAAGGGCCAGCCAATATAGCAGAAAAAAGATGCAGTGTGTAACCTTTCCGATGGACAGTCAGCGGTGATATCTATCATTTATTATTATTATTATGTTATTGCATGGCCTGGAATGTTACACAGCATGTCATTAAATTGATCTGCCCTCCATAGAGACAAGCAAATGTTTCATATAGGCCAAGTTACAGGTCAGATCTGTGGAGAACCCTGTTCAACCCTGCTCAAAGTAAGAATGCCTGTTTTTCAAGGTATTTTTTGCAATAGATTCACTGTAATTGAACAGATGCAAAATAGATGCTGTCATACTGTGAAACACTCCCACTGTCAGACCCACAACAGGAAAAAACTTCCATAGTGCACCTTAAATGGTCAAAGTGAAGTGAAAGTAGTTTAGTCTAATCCTTCCGTTACAGACTACATATTTAGATTTCCAAAGTGCCAGACGAGCGGAGTAGGCCTTGCGTGGCTCAAAAACCACAGTTGGGTTGCAGATGTCTGTCAAATACATAATCCACTTTGTAATGAATGTAAAGTGCATCCTGTCCTAGAGTGGCACCATCTCAGACACTGCTCCATTTCAGTCATTTTCAACACTAAAAGAGCAGGACAATGAGCTAAAACTACTCCATAATTTAGTTACAGATCACAACATATTCTGTTAAGTTTATGTAATAGACTTGAAGTGCCTGCAGTGTACAGTGGAGTACGGCTGCAAGATTACACGAAATCGACAGTGTGCTCTGCAGTGAACTGGAATGAACTGCAGGGAATCATAAATAAAAACTGCTTATCTTGTATTTGAGACCTCCATGCATGTTCTTAAATGCATGTTATTAGTTTAACAGTTTATATTTCAGACTTCTTTCAAAACTGAAGGATCCCAGTGAACACTAAAGTACTTAATAATGTTGATTGAGTCTTGATTTTTAAAAATACACTGCAAATCTTATCGCAAATATAATACTAGGGCTGGTAGGAATCAATTTCTTGTGCTATGATATGACAAGCCTACAGCCAATCCTCTGTCAGTAAAAGCATGTGGTTTTTGAGAAGAGTTCAGGCATTGTGGGAAGAAATTAACAGATTTTTTTTTGTGTTAAATGGCACATATTTAAGTCTTTCTTATTTATATCATTTAAATGGTCTTTTTTTGACATATCACAGCACTATTTTCTTGCAGTGGGGACACAGAATGTAGGCTCTATGACTGCATGGTGGTCAGATCTGGAGAGAGCGAGTGTAGGTGTGTGCGCTGAGATCATCGCCATGACAAACACAGAGACATGTGACTGTCGGCTGTCTTTGGTTCAGTGACATTTGACTGTGGTAAAGTGGTGCATGATTCACTTGTGCTCCACCATACGAGTCTCCTGTGTATGTTTATTATCAGGATGCTAAAGGCCACAGTTTCACAATAATAAATCAAATTATGGTGTGACAGTATCCAGTGTGCTAAAAGAGGCGACAGTGACTCAGGTCTGTCATGTGATAACTGGAAGGTTGGCAGATGGAGTGAATGATTTAATGGATAACTTTACGCTGCAGTAAGGACTGGATGTGAATGCTGTAACACAACTTGAACAATGGCCCGGTCATTGTGAGTAAGCATCACCTGCTTCTGGAGATGCTTTTAATGGCATCTTGGTGTTTTAAAATCATCTTCACTGAAACAAACAGGTGGCACCATAAAAGTTACTCAGTTCTAAATCCACTTTTTTCACTACTTTACGGTGTATATAGTGTTTTAATAGCATTATCTTCTGTTCCTAGTAATTTTATGGCATATGGCATTTTAGTGCAAACTAGGTCAATCTGGAGCTTTCTAGTCAAAATCGCCTAATCTAAGTGTGTGCTGCCTCCAGTGGCCACGGTAAATTCCAGTAGTTGGTGACATCACACAGCACTGCCCTGAGTACAGACAGGCCTTTCTGATACAAACACTGCGTTCAAATATCCTTCCGAATCGTTTTTCTGAGCAACATGCGTGACACGCCCCTTTTCCTGGGACAGCGTGACTCGGACCTTGGTGGTGGAAAAAGTAGACCGAGCAAGAAGACTTGTAAATATGAACTGTTTTCATTGTGTTTGGTGGTTTAAATGACAATTTAGTCAGTCACTCATATTACTGCAACACCTTACCGCATCCGTATCACTGCCTATGGGTGTGGTAGTCGCTGTTGTAGTGAGGCCAATATTGAACAAATGCTTGATTTAATGGGCGTTAATATCCTTATGGATGTAACAGAAGAGAAATAACATAAAATTAAGTGCAACTTTTTAAAATTAAATTAATAAAAGCGGCAGAGTTTTCATGAGATGAGGGAATAGTCATAATCATAATCGACGTAGTCTGACACGCAAAACATAATAATACACTTCAAGCTCGGACGTGACATCAAATCAGAGGTCCAAATGGGAGTTGGAAGATAATTGAAGGGAGGGAGGGAATTGCAGGGAAACACCTGGCTGCAGGGGCGGAGTTTGAAGTGTGATGACCTGTTTGACCAATCACACTGCTTCTTTATTCCTCCTCCCTCTCCCTCTTTTCTTCAGTCCTCCAGGTGCTGCCCAAGTTAGCTTTTCTATTTGAAATGTGGTTATAGGTGGAGTGTCATGGGTCATGTTTTTAGTGGTTGTTTTGGCTTATTTTGGTGTATCTTTTTCATTTAGTTCACCTTACCTTTGGTGTTTTATTTTGACATTTGTCCTGTCTGCTTGCAGTTTTGAGTTTTACTTCCTATCTTGATTGTTTGCCCCACCCTAATGTGCTTCACCTGTGTCTGTGTGCATATATACCCTGTGTCTATTGTTTATTGTCAGTGTCAGTGTCAGTGTGTCTTGTCATGGCAGTTTAGTTTCGATTTTTGGCTCTGTTTTGTTTGTTATTAAAGAACTTTAACCGTAGTCCTGCATTTTGGGTCCTTTCTCTGTTTCAACGTGACATGTAGTTTAGAGGTTTAGCCCCATTTTAAAGAAATAAAATGTATTCCATGCAGTTTGGCCATATTCCACTCTGAACAGAAACACATTGTGGTGAATGTTGCCCACGTTCATGTATAAGTGCACATCCTCTCACCAGCACAACGTGACAGCCGCCACCGCCACCCATGTGACACAGCAGATGCCCCGGCCCTTCTTCCCGCTGTAACCGTGACCTGTGCTGCCATCTTCGTCCTCCTCCTCTTCCTCCGATCCTTCGCTCCGGTCGCCACGGTGACAGCAGCAGTAGTGGATAAGGAAGGACAGAACCACCAACAGCGAGATAACGAGTGCGATGGCTGATAAACTGGACAAAACCAGTAAAGTCTGTGAAAAATGACAACAAAAATAGAGTGAGAAAAATAACAATCATATTTTGGCAATTATAAAATCTCTTCACATTGGCACGCCCCCACTAACCAGCAGGAGGTGCGCACTATGAATCACACTACAAAAAGAGTACAGACTTTATTTAAAAAGTCTTGAATTCAGGCTCTTATTTTGATTTGGGTTTTGTTTTTGTTTTTGTTTTGTTTTGTTAAACCTTTATTTGAAGTTGCACTGTGTCACACTGGTGGAGGGTTTACTACTTTCGTGTTTCCATGGAAATTACATTTTTGTTGCTGGAATGTTCGACAGTATTGCCTTTATTCATGTCTTCAATTAATTATGAGTGCTCAAAAATACCAGAAAATACATTCATTCCTACTGCGAGTGGGCTCACTTATTCACAGATTTGACCTGTAACTTGGCCTGGTAGTGTCACCAGTTTGTTTCCACGGAGATCGATACATTTTGTAGCCAGGCTGGCGCCACCTAGTGCCTCTGCTCAATTTCATTTCTCTCCAGCGACTAGATCAGGAATCAGAATACACTAGACGGTTCGCAAAAACCTCAAAAGTGCCAATCAGCCAATCAGCGAAGAGCCAGACATTCTGTGTTGGCAACGATTCCCGAGATTGAGGATTTAAAGTCAGAATAAAGAGAATGTTCAGTGAATTTTATCAAGGGCAAAGATATTATTGCCCTTCTTCCTACAGGATTTGGGAAAAGCTTAATATACCAGTTAGCCCTGTTAGCAGCGCATTACATACGTCACGACCAAATAGCAGCGATTGGTAGTACCCGGCTGATGAATCAGGCTATACGTTTTGTGCCATACTGTGAAACATTTCAGGCAAAGCAATAACATTTCTAATTTGTGCTGTAAATTGCGATTAGATTTATTCACATTTGAGAGATGGAAATATGAACTCTTATATGAATCACGTGCAGAGGGCAACTACACAGTTAGCAGGTTCAGTATGTTATACTGATATAGATATTTTCTTGTTTGCAGAGAAAATTACTTGAGTAACTGTAGTCTTTACTAGTTGACCATTCAAATCACAATTTTGATTTAATTGTGATTAATACTGCAGCCTTAACATACATGTAACCAGTAATTTAACCCGGTGTCTCAGTAATTTAACCCAGGGGCTTGGGAGCTACTGGCAGCTCTACACCCCCTTCCAAGTAGATCGTCAAGGGATTTCTGGATTACATATATTGTGCTGAATAAGTTTAATTTGATTAATTAAATGCATATTATCATTATGTATGTAACATTTTGATGCAGAACTTTGTGCCCTACTATGGATAACGGTTTATATTTAATAGACATCAAACTGTACCTCATCTAAAGCTTGCTGTGGCTCTTATTTATTCTATTTACTATATTTAGTTTCTTGTGACCGCTAAAACTAGTAGCTCTTTGGCATTTTCGTTTTGTAAAGGTAGCTCACCGGATTAAAAAGGTTGGATACTCCTGATTTAACCATTATAGGAGGAAACTGTTGATGAACATTAAAGCTCCTATATTACACAAAATTTACTCTTAAGCTTTAAGCCATGTTTTAATATTCGTACCTCATCAAAAACATGGAGTTGTGTTTTGTTTCATTCACTCTTGTGTGAGTCACCCTTTACTATTAGTATGTCTACATCTCCAAAGCTCAAAATGCTCCGTTCGACCTTGTAAGCTGTAGTTTTCATGTCAACAGCTCCTTTTATCTTTAGTTCAGTAGAGATTGGCAATTCCCGGGCAGAAATTATCCAAATGATTCTAGTGAAGGCGTATGGAGTTTAAAAACACAGTGGAGTGTTTTCTGTTTGAGAGAAGAACCTAAATATGCAGGGTTTGTGTGTTAAATGAATGAATGTGTGAATGAAACGAAACACAACTCCGAGTTTGTTTGTGATGAGGAAACAACATTACAACACAGATCAGGAAAAAAAGCGTAAAATAGGCCTTTTAAGCGGTCGATCCACAGAGTAAACACTAATGTCCCTATAAGCCTCGTCTATCTCTGGATCTGATCAGGAAAGTCAACATTACTCAAATGCACTTTGCGACACATTGCTACAGTATTATCCCTGATCCATCTGCCGGCCTGTCACTGCTGCACCTTGCCTCGGATTCACCTCCACCCCTCCTCCATCTCTGTCTCTTTCCTCCCTGCATCCATCCCTCTGTACTCCCCCTGTCTCTTTCTTTCTCTCTTTGCCCCTGCAGTCACCCCTTTCTCTCCTCTGTGCAGAATCCAGTCATTCTCTCCCTTTCCTTCTTTCTCTTTCTCTCTCTCCTTTCCCCCTACCCCCAACCACTCAGTCCTGCCCCTCTCTCTCTCTTTCTCTCGTTCCTGTGCAGTTATGCATTCATCCTCTCCCTATCTCTCTCTCAATCTCTCTCTCGGTCTTTCTCTCATCATTCCCTTTCTCTCTTCTCTCTCTATATATCCCCTGTGCAGCCATCCATTTTTCCTCACCCTTTCTTTCTTTCTTTTCTCTTTCTCGCTCTCTCCTTACCCCCAAGCACTCAGTCCTGTCTCTCTCTCTCTCTCTTTCTCTCTCTCTTACCTGTGCAGCTATCGATTTGTTCTCTCCTGTTCTCTCTCTCTTTCTCTCTCTCTCCCCTGTGTATCCATCCATTCTTCCTCCCCTTTTCTTCCCTTTCTTTCTTTCTTCTCTTTCTCGCTCTCTCCTTACCTTCAACCACTCAGTCTTGCCTCTCTCTCCCTCTCTCCTGTGCAACCATTGATTCATCCTCTCCCTTTCTCTCTCTCTTTCTCTCTCTCTCTTCTGTATAGCCATTCATTCTTCCTCTTCCTTTCTTTCTTTCTTTTCTTCCCTCTTTCTCTCTCTCCCTTTCCCTCTCCTGTGCAGCCATCCATTTGTCCTCTCCCTATCGCTCCCGTATCTCTGTCTATCTCTCTCTCTTGGTCTTTCTCTCATTCTCCCCTTTCTCTCTCTCCCCTGTGCTCCATACATTCTTCCTCTTTCATTCTTTCTGTCTGTCTTTCTGTCTGTTTTTCTTTCTTTCTCTCTCTCCTTTCCCCCTACACCCATCCACTCAGTCCTGCCTCTCTCTCTCTCCTGTACAGCATCCATTCGTCCTCTCCCTATGTCTCTCTCTGTCTTTCTCTCATGCTCCCTTCTCTCGCTCTCTCTCTCTCCTTCCCCCTGCAGTAACCCCTTTCTCTCTCTCCTCTCTGCATCCATCCCTTCATCCGCTCCCTCTACTCTTAACCCATGGTTCTCTCCCCCACTCAGGCTTTCTTTCCATCCACCCCACTGGATCTCTATTAATAATCTGTGACCTACTTAAATACATTCACTGCTGCCCTCGCTCTCTCCCTCTCTCTCTGTCTCTCTCTCTCTCTCTCTCTCCCTCTATCTCTCTATCTGTTGCTGGTTTTGCTTCTATGGCCCAGTCTTATGTTCATTACAAACTCTCCCTCTCTTTCTTTCCTTCTCTCTCGACGCCTTTACTTCCTCCCTAACCCACCATTGCCTTTATGGTCCATTCTTCAATTCAGTCCTCTCCTCTTTCTCTCTCTCTCTCTCTCTTTTTCTCTCTCTAATTCCCAATATTGCTGGATTTACCTACAGTAAATGGCTCGTGCTTGTTTTCATCAGTCTTCTTCTCTCTCTCACTTCCTCTCCCTCCTCTCTCTACCATCTTCTTTCATCTTCCCTTTCTTCCTCTCTCTCACATACAATGCTTCCCTCTCCAAGTCCCTTTTTCTCTTCTCTCTCTCTTTTTCACTCTCTCTCACTCCCTCCATTGCAGCCCATTGTTCTGTTCACGAGCCTCCACACATTATTCACTCTTCCTCTCTTTCTCTGTCCCTCTCTCCTTCTCCCTGTCCGTCTCTCTCTTTCTCGCTCTCTCCCCCTCTGTACTTGCTCCCTCTTTTGCTTGTTTTGTTCTGCAGGATAATTGAGTTAAACATTTTCAAACACTTTCACAGAATGCTGGACAATTTGTATAAAGACAACAGGGAAATCTTGCATTCAACAGCAGTTTGCTGTACTTCCAGAAGTCCACAGATTAAAGGTGCACTGTGTAACTTTTCTGGTAGAGGGTTCAATGCCTGCTTGTCTCCATAAAGTTAATGTAGCTTTGCATGGCTGTGTGGCTTGCATCTTGTATCTTGCATTTATTAAATTACAGGTGTTTTTGTCGAATATACGTATATTAAAATATAAGACTGTAACGATATCCAATTCTCACATTACGATATCATCACAGTAGGAAATTTATTGTGATATCATAAGAAAGCTCAAGATTAGGGATGTAATAATGTCCAAATCTCTTACGATATTTATGCAATATTTTCACAATATACATCTCGCAGTATGATATTTATTGCGATATTTTGTGGAGGTTAACAAAATTGTTAATATGCTACTTTTTCCTCTTAAAATGAGGTGATAAGACTTAATACAAAGAACTAAGACTTAAAAGTGTTTAGAACTGTTATTTGTTCTTGTAGTCTACACTGAAATGGAGCAAAGGATCATGGTCTATGTAGTTCCCTCTGTCTTTTTTTGCTGCACCATAACTCTTAATTTAAGCAAAGAGACTTGTAATTCAATATATTGTGATGGTCCACGATATTATTGTGAGAACTTTGACAATATGATGTTACGATATTTTGGTTACATCCCTATTAAAATATGAAAAACATGTATTTTCACAGTAATCTGTCATGCCTTTCCACAGATTTGACCTTTGATTTGACCTTTAACTTGACCTTGTGTTGTCACCTGCTTATCTATTTGTTTAACTTTAGATTATTACCTCCGCCAAGGAGGTTATGTTTTTGCCGGCGTTTGTCTGTTTGTTTGTCTGTTAGCAACATAACATAAAACGTTATGGACCGATTTTGATGAAATTTTCAGGATTTGTTGGAAATGTGAAAAGGAAGAACTGATTTCATTTTGGGGGTGATCCGGAAGAAATCCTGGATTCTGGATCACTTTGAAATTTTAGTTAACATTGTGGTAAATGGGGCCAAAGATTTTGTTTCTCAATATCTCGGTTAATTATTGACCAAACCCCATGAAATTTGACTCAGGGATGGACAATGGGATCCTCTTTCGTATTCCAAAGGCTGATCCGGATCTGATCCAGAAGACTGATTTTATCGCAATTTATATAAAAAATGGGGGTAGTCCTTGGCGGAGGTCTGCGCTCTCTGAGTGCTTTTCTAGTTTAGATTGTTATTGATATACTGTGGAACATTCTAGCAAGCTGATAGTGTACGTACCCTCACAAGAAAAGTTACACTGTGTAACTTTAAGCTATTCTTAATATTTCTTGAGCTAAAAACAAGCAAACAAACAAACAAAAAAAGCTGGAAATAGACACGAAGTCGCAACTTAAACAAGCCAATGGGTTACTCAAGGGTCAAGTGCCAATTCACTACTATAATTAAGTAAATAAAACAATGTCTGTGAATAGTTTAAACACTGCAAATGTCTACTCTGCTCTACACATTGTTGTTAAGAGTTATGACTTAATGGACCTATTTACAGTGCGGTAACGGCAAACCTCTAGGCTCTGACTCAGTAGTTTAACTGTACAACTATATCCTTAATGCAAGATTTAAACACACCATTAAAACTGCGACTAAGCTGGAGCGAAACCTGGAACTACACCACGATCAGAACAGGATGAAAGCGAGTGTAAATGCAGAGATAATTGTACATTTATTTCTCACTGTGACTATAAAGAAACAGGACTTTCATTGTGTCCTCATCAAAAACACAAAAGGAGCTGTTAACTTGAAAACTAGCACGACAAATCACAAGGTGGAAGAGAGCATTCTGAGCTTTGGTGATGCAGACAGACCAGTAATACAGAGTTACTCAAATAAAAGTGAATAAAGAACATAAACGTAACTCCAGGGATGTTTTTGAGGAGGTAACAACATTCTATCATAGCTGAAAGCTCACAAGAGTAAAGCATAAGAGCATAAGGTTTAAGATTATGATTTATTAGTTCATTGACTTTTATGCCATACATCTCACATTTACAAGCACGTTTTAGTGCCGTTCTAATTCAAACGTTATCAAGATAATACGAAATAGCAATAACTAGGAAGTGGCTTAAACCTGAGTGACCAACATTTGAGAACTGGACTGATATTGTGCAAGAGATCTAAATAATGGAAAAGGTTTAATTTTTATTATTAAGTGCAACTGGTCTTATTTTACAAGATGTGGTCTAAATGGACAGAGTATGTAAAGCTGGTGAGATCAGACTTCACATAAAACTACTTCATATTTGCAATGTTTTATTAATTTGTGAAAGAGGTTCCCTGTTCTGAGTTTGTCTATGTTAAAAAAAAAAAAAAAAAAAAAAAAAAAAAAGCAAAAGCAGGAACGTATTATTTCATTCTACAGACTGCAATGTGTAATCTGCTTTTTCAATTAAAAGTAAAAAAATATATATAATAATAATATTATTGAGATTGATTCCTATTTTTGTCTATATTGACCACCCTACCCTCTAAAATAAAAATAATGATATCAATTTTTTAGGGGTGTAAGTCCAAGTCTCACGATACGATATTGTCATGGTATGAACCTCACAGTACAATATTTATTGTGATATCGTGGGAAAGCTCACAATATGGTGGGAAGGCTCATGATTAAGGATGTAACAATATCCAAAACTCACGGTATGATATTAATTGTGATATTTTGTGAAGGCGAACAAAATTGAATATACTACTTTTTCCTCTTAAAATGCCTTGACAAGACTTAAAAGTGCTTAGAACTGTTATTTCTTCATCTAGTCTACACTGAAATGGAGCAAAGGATCATGGTCTATATAGTTCCCTCTGTCTTTTTGCTATTGCTGCACCATAACTCTTAATTTAAGCAAAGAGACTTGTAATTCGATATATTGTGATGGTCCACGATATTGTTGTGAGAACTTTGACGATACGATATCACGATATTTCGGTTATTGTTCCATCCCTACTATCTACAATGGTCGTATAATTACAGATGATATTTTGACCCTAGCGCTCCGTCTCTGTGGAGCCGAGCCAGGTGTGCATTACCTGCTGATACTCCCAGCTGTCGGGCACAAAGAAGTTGTCCCTCATGGTCATGGTGAAGTCCAGCCGGGGGAGGGCGTGGCACACTCGCACCCATAGCGAGGGGCTGTAGCTGGGCACTGTTGTCATGGCAGCCATTTTCCTCCTGCCACCGGTCCCCTCCTCCACCCTGCAGCAAAAGAGAGGGATTTTGTGATTCATAGTCTGTGCAATTCATATTTTTATATATAGATTTTTTTCGTGGTTTAGTTTGACAAGCTAAAATCATACCTCCCTCGGCTTAATTAACACCAGCGTTAATCTGTGAATGCGAAACAGACGCTTGTGCAATGTTTGTTACAGCTTTTCTTTCTTTTATTAAATTAAAAGCTTTGCTGAACTTACGCAATACAGAAAAGTGGCGTTGGCAAATACCGCATTAATAATACAAAAAACACTCTTTTTTTAGACAGTAACATGTAATATTTAACACACACAAAATATCAGCGGTTTCTTTAATATGACTTTTTAGTCTTACTAATTCTTATATTTCAAAATCATACTAAAACTATTCACAGAAGGTTCAATTCTTTACTATTAATGTGACTGTTTTCAGTATACTTGTACTGTACTGATTTTATGAGCATACATTTGTTACAACCCTACAGTCAAGGTGAAATTATCTGAACTGAAAGGATAGTAAGCAGTGAGAAATGGGGGTGAAGAGTGAGGAAAGACATCCAGATTGTTAGAGCTGAATTTTGATCAGGACAGCACAGAGCCATAGAGCAAGAGACCTCTCCTGTACATTTCTGTTGATCAGTTAACGAGTAACTTTAACAAGCTATTCACCACCATCTTGCTGTCACTTCATTACAGAAACCAGCGTCTGTGCTAATATATATGAACTGAATCTTAAAACATTTTCATGACTAAAGACAGGAATTATAAACTTGCATACTTTAAGAAACTACCACCCAACTTTATGTTACTGTTTTGGTTTAACTATCCAGAGGAGAAGGCATGTTATAAGTTCACACTACTTTCTGTTTCGCATATGCAACATGTTGGAGAATTGTGTTTTATATATTTGAATTGGCTTAACCTGCTAATCTATACTGTAATTAAGAGGAGATGAAATTGCAATAAGAGCAGATGAAATTACTGCAATTATTTAGGCCCTTTACAAACCACAAAATGTTATGTCTTATTATCTAGAAACCTGCAAATCCTGTAGTCTAGACCTTTACAAACATGTTCTGAAACGCATGGGATTGTTGCATTAGTTAAGCAGTATATGTCAGTCTTCTCTCAAATGTTTAAAACTTTGAACAGAATCCAACTATTAAAACAGTAATTGCTAATTTAATCGTAATTGCGATGTTTGGCTGATAATTTGCAATGAGATACTATTCTGCCAAAATCGTTCAGTCCTAATAGGGGCTATCTGGGGACATTGGGTGAAGACCAAGTGCACAGATCAGTTTTGAAATGGTGTCATCTGCTTCATATCTCCACATCGAGGGGCAATTTACGAGAAGCCATTATCTGAGGAGAGCGATGTTTATGATGTGATCTGGAGTCACTTAAAGGTCCTATATCACACAAAATTTACTCTTGTGAGCTTTAAGCCATGCTAGAATCTTGTTAGCGCATCAAAAAGTTCTGTTCACACAAGTTTGAGTCACCCTTTATTATTAGTCTGTCTACATCTCCCAAGCTCAGGCTCAAGTTAACAGCTCCTTTTACCTTTTGTTCAGTAGAGATGGCCAATTCAAGATCTGAAATGATTCAAATGATTCCAGTGAAGGTGTATGGAGTTTTAAAACACAGTGGAGTGCTCAAATGTGGAGAGTCTGTGTGCTAAACATGTGTGAATGAAACAAAACATAACTCCTGGTGTGTTTATGATGAGGAAACACCATTATAACTTAAATCAGAAAACAGTGTAATAAACCAAGTATCAAGATGGTGGGTGTAATTCAGCGCATACACAGAAAAGCCAGAGGGCCAGTGTAAACAAGCTTTTGACGGAATTGGCTATTGAAATTCACTTAAATAATGTTAAATGAATAATGTAGAACGCCCGTGGTTATGTCTCTTCTGTAAGAATAGTTATTGCTGTGGTAAGAACTAATGGGCTCCCAGAATAAAGAGTATGATGTAGTGTATGCCTGCGAAATGAATCAAATCATAATTTGAGTAGTCACTATCTCAGTTTAAAATGTACACTGCCAACTGAACATTGATTTTAAAGCATAAATTGTAGTACTTGTCAGAGAAATTGCAATTAGACTCCAAAATTTTTCTTTAATATAACTAGAGGGTAACCTGGTTTGCAAAATAGGCAATGCAATCCACATTATTATGGCACAGACAAAGGAGGGGCTGCTGGGTACCATCAGAAGACTGTAGAGTTAATAAGCACTATTGAGAGATTTTAGTCAGTGTCTCCACGAATGAATGATGAAAAGTAAATTTTTCCCTCAAAGACATAGTATTTAAGTGAATTCTGAACATAATTTTTCAGTTGTGTTTTTTTTCTATATAGAGATTAATACAGAACAGGGCTGGGTATCATTAAGAAGTTGCTGATACGATACATACCTCAAAACAGTAAATTTTTTATTCGATACAATATATTTCAAAGCAATTTGATATGGTTCAGTAATAAATAATGGCTAAATCATGGCTGTGATGCTAAAAATCTTCGTTAAACTATGCCTTGTGCAAAGTTAATATGAAAAACACCCATTTTACTCATTAAAACAGTGAAAATGTCAAATGTGTCGCATAAACAAGCAACAAAACTGTAGAGATGTAACTAAATAATTTAGTAAAATATACCAAAAAAATACATATATCGTATCCTACATATATAAAAAATAATATATATCGATACAGCAGCCCACAATATCGATACTGTATCATCATATTAAACGATACGATATATCGATATTTTGATATTTTGTCTGCATAGCCCTAATACAGAATTAGTATGATTTAAAGGTGCACTTGGTGACTTTTCTGGTACATGCTTGTCTCAATTTAGATGTTTTTCAGGTATGTTATGGTATTAAAATATATATGTTATGATATTAATTAAATCCAAATAAGCAAAGTATCGCCACCAGACCAAGTTACAGGTCAGATCTGTGGAGAGGCGACACGCTCACAAAAACAACACATGTTTTTCAAGGCAATTTTAAGAAATAAAAACACCCATAATGAAAAAATTGCTAGGAATTTTTGAGTTTCATACCATACTGTGGGACATTCAAGCAAAGCAATAATATCTCCATGGAGACAGAAGAGTTAAGCAATGCACATTTAAGCAGGCTACAGATACCGAACAATCTGAAAAGCGCCTAAAGCCGTACAAAGGACAGACTCAAATGTGCTCAGATGAAGGAACCAATATAATGAAAATGATTGCAGGGCTTTTGTTTTCAAAGACATAGCTTTATTTTGACACTCTATACACTATATAATGGTCCAGTGTTGATGTTTATTCAGAGAGTAACATCTGTGACCACTGCAGCTGTTTGGTGAATACAACATTATTCTACAGTGTATAGGCGCGCCACTGTGGTCCATACATGAATAAAATGGAAACTTTGTGATAATTCTTTGTAGTGGAAGAGGAAACCATTGATTTTTGTTTAAGATGGAGTTTACCATTTAAGGACCTTTTACCACTCAAAGGATAATAATATTATATTTTGAACTGTAGTCATGTCAAGATTTTTTGGTGACTTAATAATAGTGCTAAATCTAACTAATTATGTACATTTTAGAAGCAAAAATATGCCGTTTCAGTTCAGTCTATACTGATTTTTTTTTTTTCTCATCTTGCTGTTTATGCATTAACCATTAAGAAAGTTTGATTTAATAAAGCTAGTCTCAGAGCATTGATAAAGTCAGAGAAAATGTGAATGAATGAAAAGTTTTGGTGTCATTCATTTAGGAGAATCAGAATTTCTTCACAATAATTGTAACACTAACACTTTAAATAGTCTATTCCTTATTGTTATGCTTTGAATTGTTAATTGCTATGACAGCAGTTCCAGCGTCTCATCCCTCTGAAACCCAAACAAGAAAAATGAGATCAATATAACTTTTGCCATATCGTCCAGCTCTAGTTGCCAGACAAATTGCTTTTTCAGATGGAGTATTTGGTGATGGCACAGATCTAGCCCCCCACAGGGCAGACAGGACCACTCTAAGACCATTACAACAGGCCTGTCCACCGTCATGGCTCTAGAAGTCCAACTGTCACAAGAGAATGAAAGCCAACAATCCATCTGTGAATTAAAATCATGTTGAACTAAATGATTCACTCTGAGATGGGCAATAAACTCAACATAAATGGGGTAAACATGGCGGAGTATCACTTACTTTGATGGACTGTACAAGGTTTCCTGCCAAAATGAAAGTTATAAAACCACAAGCATTTCAATTAAAGGTGTCCTATGTCACTTTTCTGATGTGGGGTCTGCCATCTGTTTGTCTCCATGGAGATGTAATTGCTTTGCACAGAATAATTTAAGGATATATCTATTGCATTTATTCAAAATACAGTTATACAGTTAAATGCATTTTTAAAAAAATCATTGCTAAAAAATACCTAAACAAAAATGCATTCTTGCCGTTTATGGGGTTGCTACTCCAAGGATCTGACCTGTAACTGTAACCATGGATAGTGTTGAACATTATGGGTAGAAAAATAATATCTCAATGGAGAAAGACTGCAATACTAATAGTAATAGTAATCTGTAAAATAAAGGATTACTATCATCTAGAATATTTCAGAGGTCAGTATGTGTCACTAGGCCTGTGCAGTCTTTTCTTTTTTAATGAATCATGATTATAATGCAGTTGTTGCTTGAAACAATTAATTAATTTTGCCCCACAAACAAGCACAGCCCCTTGTCTAATCTGCAGTGCCCCTTGTAAACATTAATCACAAACATTTGGTAATAAATGATCATACTCACACTCTACAGGTTAGGTTTTGACAGTACATGACTTCAATTACAATCAAAACCTACATTTTTCCCATAATCAAGCAGCCCTATAGGTGTCACTGTACATTAGATGCTGGACTCATATAAAATGCTGACATAATACAAAATTAGCATAAATGTGATATCATTGGTTTGTGTGACAACAAGGCAGTGACAATAATCAACATGTGAATTGCATTGACAGCCAACAATAACAGTATATTTTGTCCAGTTGCAATGACGTCTGGTGCTAGTTTTTAGATTATGCAAATACCGTTACAAAAGTGGAGATGATTTTGGGATCGAATTCAGGAAGAAAAGTCCAATCAATAAACTGGACTTTGTGAATTGGTCTAAGAAACTCCCACTGTAAAGAAGGCAGCGACTGTGTGACGTAAAATTGCAGAAAAGATACAGTGTGTGGAAAAAAAGGCTGAATCTAAAATGCAAAAAATTACCAGCGTTTAAATTCACAATGTTGTTATTTCTGCAAATGTGAGTGAATTAAAACTCATTTACAATTGATAATAGGCCTAAATGCTACAAAAATTATAAAATCAGTGGTTTTATATTCAGAGGTGATTATTTTGTATATTTTCTGTCAAATTCAACCTCTGTGATTTGTAAGTTTACCTATGTGGGTGAAATAAAACACATTTACAATTTACAATAAATTCTACACTATAAGTACATCAAATGACCTTAATCCAGCTAAAGGTTTACTACATCAAGAGGTTACTAATCTTATATTTTCTGACAAATTCAACCCCTGTACTTTCTAATTTATGGTTATGATTCATTATGGCATGGCAGCTGAGTTAAAGGGAGGAGGGTGCAGCGTGTAATTGGTGAGCGCATATAGAGCTTTTACAAGTCCTTGGCTGCACAACTTGTCTGTGAAAAATGCTGCATTATTTCTGTGCAAGTAACCATTGTTCAGATAACTGCACATCACATGCACATAACAGCCCCTGCCTCTTGCATATGACACAGGAGATAAGGTAAGCTGTGAGTGCAAAATCATTATGTGCAATAAAACCATTACAACACCATCGTGCATAAATCTAGCCGCACACATTGGCCTCATTTACTGAAATAGGCACAATGCATTCAAACAGCAGCATACCAGCTCACAGAGGGCTTAATTGCATTGTGCATCAGATCAAATGCGTCCGTGCCGTCACATGTTATAGCCGTGTAAATCTGACAGAAAAACAATACATGCTTACCTCTAATGGCTGTTGGGAGGTTCTGCTCTCCTGTCTCTGCTCCTCTCCGGCGTCCGTGAAATTTTTACCCACTCAAAGAGGTATTCTGCCAGCCATCAGCGCCAGATGCTCTTGAAAAAACATCCTCCTGCAAAAATGGCTTAAGAGACAAGCCACAGAAGAAGTCAAAACAAAAATAAAAATCAGGGCAGTAAATTTTTTTTTGCGTTTAGTAGAATATTAAAAAGCCAATAACTGTCTAGTTGTCTGGTGACAGTGAGAGGTGCTTGTGGTGATGGATGAGCGAGAGGCTTTCACAGTGAGAAAGAGAGAGAGATGGAGAGAGAGAGAGAGAGAGAGAGAGAGAGAGGGATGGAGAGAGGGATTAAGATTGAGGAGACACCCCTAAGGGACTTTTTATCGCTGCATTGTAGCTCTTCGTAGATTAACACCAAGCGACTTCGCAAACAACATGACAAGAACACAATATCCTTTGACCATAATGACTCCGTTAACAGGGATTACCTGCTGCCACTACCCATCTCTGAGATCCCACTTTTGATGTCAACCCCAGCAACATCCTCTCACACTCCCACCAACCAACAGCCAATCTCTGCACAGACCTAGTCCTACCCAGATTATGCAGGCAAAGAATAAAAATACCTTTGCTGTGGTAAGAATAGGCAAAAACAAAAAAAATCCACTCACGTGATAAGTGCAAAACGAAATGTCTAGCCCAAATATCGTCTGGTGTGATGTTCAGGAGCTACGTGAGTAAGTAGAGATGCACATAAAACTGGAGTAACACAGACGAATAGGCGCACATGGGTGGGTATGGGGAGGGGGCGATACAGGCAAAGGCAACGTGAAATAAAAAAAAAGTGGGTTCCCATGGAGTGATGCTGAGAGCAGAGGAAGGGAGGGCGAGAGATGGGCGAGCGAACAATGAATAGAGAAGGCATGCAGTGGATTGGTAGGCAAAACCAGTTTCAGTCAAGGCTGCAGCAAAGCATCAAACACTGATTCAGAAGCAGCGAGGCATGAAAAATGGAGCAACAAAATGATGAGAGCAGATGGGAACGCACTAGTGGAGTTGTCCTAAGCTATTTGACCGACAGTTGCCAAAATGTTCGTCTAATTACAAAATGACGAAGGGTAAATAGTGTGGCATTTGTCCATCTTGTTAAAAAAAAGGGGGCACAGGCGAGAGGAGGAGAGGGGAAGAGGGAGGGGGCGGCGTTGGCTTTTCTGTGTCACTGAAAAGAGAGTGGGGGAAGGGAGGCAGCGAGATAATGCAAGTGAGGGAGAGAACTGACTCATATGGCCTATGTATAGTGTCTGAGTGAGCTGTGTATCTGAGGGAGAAGAGGACAGAAAACCGTGTTACATATGCAACAACTGCTCAGGGTAAGAAGCAACCACACAGCTTATGTCAGGTCACACAAAGATGGAGGTCGTCTATCAGAAGAGCAAAGATCAGTCACAACATTTAAAGTCACCAAATCAATATTTAATGTCGGCTGGATATAGTTCATTATAAAGGTATGATGCTTATTGAACACCTCCGATGCAACATACAACGGAAACAGGCACTAAAACTGAATTATGAGCAAAAATGTGCTGCTGCTATATCAATGTAAATGTTTTATGTTAAAAAATTTATGTATTTTTTATATATATATTTTCTTCATCAGTCTTACAAAGATTACATCACCGCGTTTTAGCGTTCATACTTTAGTCCATCCTTAGTGTTTAATCAATTCTGTTTAAAATGCTGTTTGAAATGTCTATTTAAATCATAAATAATTCAATACATTATAATTGCACTATGTCTACTCTTTAGCATCAATATCCCAGTTACAATATTTTTATCAAAGGTTTCTGTAAAATCTGTAAACAAACACCTCGTCTGGGTTTTCCCCAGTCAAAATTACATTCATTTATAGAAAATTATGGCGTTAGTTTAAGTGTAATAGATTCCCCTCTTTATCAAATGGTTACTGTGCAAAGAATGTCATTACCGTTACAATCATTTTACAAAAGATTTCTATATAATCTGTAAACAAAGGCCTTGTTTGATTTATTCCCAGTCAAAATTACTTCCCTTTATAGTAAATTATGGGGTTAGTTAGCAATAGATCCTCCTCTTTATCAAATAGTTACTGTGCAAAGAATTTCATAACCGTTACAATTGTTTTACAAAAGATTTCTATCTGTAAACAAAGGCCTCATCTGGTTTATCTCCAGTTAAATTACTTAAATAAACTTTGATAAACTGTGTAAATGGCTTAAGTGAAACAGATTCCCCCTTTTAACGAAGAGTTACTGTGCACAAAATCTCATAAAATCCATCTACTGTACACCCTCCCATGGCGCAAAGATGCAAAGTGTTAACAGGCAGACGACCAAAGTTTAGGCCCTTTCCCACCTTTAAATTTTCCACCCCCTCAAAGATCCTCTCCTCCTCAAAGTCCAGCTTGGCCAGAGTCAGGTGGTATCGTGGGTTAAATGAGTGTTTATGGAGGAGACCTTTTTCCTTGTATGCTTCCTGTAGGGTGCTGTTTAGTTGATGGAGGTGTTGCTGAGGGTGAGGGCTCAGGTACAACACTCGCCCGTTGAAGTGCTTGAGTTTGGGAGGAAATGTCACGGCTACAGGGGGGTTTCGGTTCCAACGAGCGAAGCGCCGCAGGACCTCCTCTGCTGCCTCCACCTCCTCAGGTCCAGGCAGCACTAGGAGGCAGAGGGTGACGTGAAGACTGGATGCGGTGCTCCAGTAGGGGGCGCAGGCGGGCAGTGCAGCGGTCAGTTCCTCCTGTAACTGTGTGAAAGCAGACAGGATGGAAGGAGTATTGGCTCTGAAAGTGACAAAGTGTGTGGGCCATTTCTTAGGAGGGCGACCGCCAGGTTTCTCCTCTTTGTGCTCCAGTTCAGCGGCCGGTTCATCGTCCATGTCAATAGCTTCAACATGTGTCTGCGAACAGATACACATTACATTATACATAAAAGATGCACTATGTAACTTTTTTGGTGGAGACCTGCTTGTCTCTGTGGACATGTTGCTTTGCCTAAAATGTCCCACATGATTTCTAGCATTTATTTCATTACAAGTGTTTCAACTGCTATCAAAATACTTAACTGGGTTGCAGGGTTGTGTCTCCACAGATCTGACTTGTAGTTAAACCTAATAGTGTCACCTGCTTGCCTCCATGCAGATAGTTTAATGTCATAATGTGGAACATATCAGACACAGCA